GCAGCCCACCCCCATCGAGTGTGCGCCCCTTTGTGTCTGCTCCCTTCCTCAGCCAAACACCCCAAGGCTGGTTTGTGGCCTCCGGCTCTGCCTCCTTAACCCCCAGCCGCCCCTCGCCTCTCACCCCTTGGCGTCAGCCTTGGCCTGGCACTCCTGCCAAAGCATCCCCTCTCGTAGGCCCCGAGGCGCTCTCCCAGCCCCTGGCTCTCGGGGTCCAGTGCTGCCTTGCACGAAACTTCCTTCCTTGACCTTCTGCGCACTTTGCCAGTGTCTCTCCTGCCCTCTGACAAACCTGCTCCCACCCCGTAGGGGAGGCTTTTCTTGAAGCCGGCATGCAGCCCGGGCTCTGCCGTCTCCATGGCCACGTCCTTCCTGGCGCTCAGGCCCTCTCTACCCCAGCACTGCCCTCGGTCCAGGCAGTTCCGGCCTCTCCCCTGAACATCACGGGGACTAGTGGGTGAGGTCTCCTCCTAATCATCCTCCCAGGCTCCTCAGTAGCTGCATCCCTGTGACTTTGCTCCCTCCTTATCTTTTCCTAGCATTTTCCCACAAACTTTCCTTCCACTCTCTGCCAACCACCACATCCAATCAAAAAATCTATGTGTGTAAAAATACACATAAGCACGAAATGTTTTATTAACGACATGTCACATCTATGGTATTATGCAACCATCACCACTGTCAAGTTCCCCAAATCAAGTGCCTTGCGTCCACCGGAAAGCTGTCGAGGCCTCCCTCCCCTAGTCCTGCTGTGCCTGCCCAGGCCTCCGCTTCTACCCACGCCACCATCCAGGCTGATTACCGGCCTCCAGCCTCTTCCCCCAGAGGCCCAGCGTGACCTCCCAGCGCCAGTGTCATCCCGTCCCCGCCTCGTGGAGGCCGTAGAACAGGGCCAGCTTATCAGCACAGCGGGCAAGCTGCTCTGTCCTGACACCTCCTGCCCTAGCCTCGCTTCCTGTGGCTGCCTGTGCCCAGAACACATCGATTTCTCAATCCCCTGGGCCCTGGGATGTGTTGTTCCCTTGCCCAGAGCACCTGCTGCCTGATCTTGGCCTGCTCCAAGGCTAGGCTTGGTCACTTCCTGCGGACTTTCTTGACCTCTCCCGGTCACCCTTCGTGCTGCTTACATGGCTGTCCAGTCGCCTGGGACCACACCAGCCTGCCTGTCTGGGCAGCAAGGGTGATTTCGTATTTACCCTGTGAGCCCGGCACCTGGCACAGGTGCTCCACAGGTGTCTCATTGAGAGGGACCCGGAGTGACCTTGGAGATGCTTGAGATCCAAGGGTTAAATGGGCCAGCACATTCCGTGCTCAGCCTGGACTTCCTCAGAGGCTCCTTGCTTCATGGCGCCCTGACAATGTGGCTGCCCCACACTGCCCTCCCCCACCCCCCACATCTTTATTCCTGAGTCATTTCTAGGTTGGGGGCCAAGTGGCTGACTGAGTCATGATGCCTTCTCTTCCCGGGAGTGTCTGCACCTGTTGCCTGGTGATGTGAGGAAGAGGAAAACAGACCCTTCATTTTAGGATTTTGGGGGTGGGCACAGGGCCCCTGGGTGCCTCGTGTGGGCTGTGGTGATTTTGTGACTTTCGCTTCTCCTCCACCAGCCTTTCTGTCTCCAGGGTGAAAGATGTGACCCCATTAGGCTGCCCCACCCCTGTCCTTCCGTCACAACAGTTCTCAAACTCTGCGTTCAGTTGGGAAAGGCAAGGATCCTCTGTCTAGAAAAACACACCCCTGCACACAATCAGAGGTGGTTCATGGGCCCCTGATACGCCCCCGTGACCTCCCAGGGGCCCAGACACTGCAGATTGTGAGCAATCACTCTACTGGCTACGTAAGGAGACCCACACACTGGTGGGCTGTTCTCAGACAGTTTTATTTACAAAGAAGATGTTTCCCGTGTCAGGCTTTTGAAAACTGGTCGAATGGTATATTTGGTGTCGACTGCCGCTTAACGACTCACCCCCATACTTAGTGACTTAAGTAGGGCAGTGCACACTGATTGTCTTACACAATTCTGGTTCCCAGGAATCTCTCAGGTGGGCACCTCCTGAGGAAGGCTGCAGTGATTGGAAGGTCTGATGGTGGCTGGAGGATCTGCTTTCACGGTTCCTGTGTGACTGCTCAGCAAGACACACTCTTTGCCACTGGGGCCCTCTTCATGGGGCTGCTCACGACAGGGCAGCAGTTGGCTTTGTCCCAGGGAAGGGGAAGTGACCAAGATGGGCACTGAGAGGTCTTTCACAAAGCTGCCCTTTTTTAAAGATTTATTTTTATTTATTTATGCATACAAGAGCTGGGGTTCAGGCCAGAAGTGCAGAGGTGAGAGCATTCACCAGACAGAGTGGGGAGCAGAACAGGCAGATGCACTGAAACACACTGCTGAGGGGAGCAGCGGGGAGACAGGAGAGGTCTGCTGCACTAAGTGGGTCTGCTCAGGCCACAGTGGCTGCTGATAACCTAATAGCGCTGAGACTTTAACCTCCCTGGTGGGGCCTTTTATAACTTGACCTTACAGGTGAACTCATGACACTTGCAGTTTTTGTGGGTCACACAGACCAAGACTAAGGTCAGACACGGCTCCCGGGGGGCCAACTTGAAGCTGGTTTCTGTTGCATCAAAACAAGGAGCTTTTGTGTTAAGTCGAAGAGCCGGGCTTCCTATCTTGAAAAGTTTTCTCTTCTTCCATGCTGCCCTCCTTTCTTATTTCTGATCTTTTACAGCTGGCCTTGGGGGTGTGATGTTCTGGTCAGTGAATCAGTTGATGTGTTTGAGTTAATTAAAAAACAAGATGGCGGAAGTGCTCCAAGCAAGTGTGCATCTCCCCTACCACCTGGAGAGCCACCACCTGGAGCTCTAGCCAAGTTTGCTTTAGAATTGGTCAAAAGTGGCAGAGCTCCTAGAACAGGGACTTGACTAAGCCCAGTCTACAGGAGACACAGGCAGGGGTGGGGCTGAAGCTGGAACTCTGGAGTAGGGAAGAATCGTGTGAGTCCTGGAGGGCAGGAGCTGTGCTGGGCTCTTTTGTGAGCCCCCAGAACCCCCTGCAGCACAGGCACAGAGAAGCAAGGGGATAGCAACCTTGACCCAGGCTCTGGGCTCTCAGTCACCTTTGTCCACTCATTGTTCAAGGTTGAATCAAAGCTTCCATTTTAGAGGAAGAAGCATGGTGGGCTCCAGAGCGCCAAGGCTAGTGAGCTAACGGCGTCAGACGAAGACCCTGGTGCGTCTGGATTGGTTATTTCTGTCCCCAGCACCGTGTCCCATCTGGGACTTCGCCAGTTGGGGTCATGTGTCTCATTCAGCACCATGACGGTCAAGTAGCCTCAACCTGTGGGGTAACTAACCCAAAGAGCCTGGGGATGCCCCCATACATTAAAATTAATACAAAATTTTAAATGATTTTCTTTTGAAACAATGTGCTAGCAACAGAGATGGAACAGAGATAGAGATTTAGAAACCCCAAGAGTCAAGAGCTGGTTTGATTTCTGCAACAGACAGAATCTAGCAGACATTTCTCCAGGTCTGCGTCAGAGCAGGGACTCCAAGTCCTTCAATCCAGGGCCTAGTCACGGAGGTCCATCTTCACCACAGTTGTCCATCGTGTGGGGAAAAGATGGAGGCTCGAGAAGTCTCACTTTTGCTGAAGGTGATTAGAGGGGAGATGGGGGCCAGGCGATCTGTCTCTGCCTTTCCTCCCCCCTCCCGGTCTCCTGAGGGGAGGCAGGGCAACCATCCGAAGGTGTAATGAGACCTGCCTGTCCTTGCCCCATCATTAAGCTGTGTGAAACTAAATGCCGAGCACAGAGACTTTGATCTGAGACCTCCCGAGCAGGACGCTTGGACCAGGAGCTGCAGAGACAAGCAGGTGTGGAGCAACTGAAGAGATTTGCTGCAGGAAACACTCACACCTAAACCATAGCCTTACTTTGAGTCGTGGGCTTAGCAGATGCCTCTTGTTGTTTAATTAATTGCTCATAAGGAAAGAACAGGTCTGGACCATTGGATTCTTTTAAAACCTAAGACATATGAGAGATGAAGTAAATTCTGAACTGCTAGAGAAAGGATTGACTATCACAAGAGGGAAAGAAAGACAGTTCTTACCAGGATCTCTGGCCAGTTTCAAATTATTCCTTTTGTTGCTTGGGCTTCAAGGGGTTATGTGGCACAAGGGGTTATGTCTCAGCACTATGAGGCTGTCCGTAGCCACTGCAGCATCAGTTTGATCCCCAGCCAGGGAGCTGACTCACATGGCGCAGCAGACCTCTCCTGTCTCCCCACTGCTCCCCTCAGCAGTGTATTTCA